ATTGTTCATCTCTTGGCACATATTGAACATTTATGAGTTTGCATGCTTTCCTTTATGATATTGTATAAATTTCTTATACATGAGTTTGTGTCCTCATCTCAGAAAGGTGATATTTTTTATATTGACCTGAAAATCTTGATCAGTGGACACACCAGCATAACCAGTGCAAGCATGTGTTCCTAGCAGAGATACAAGTTGTAATATTCTTCTGTATTTTTCTTTCCATTAAACAGGTTCAAGTCAGGTGAAGAAAGCGCAAAAAAGCCTCTTTGCTTGGAGTTTCAAGTGTTACCAAGAGGATGAATACGATGGCATTGCAACAGCTGTTGATGAAACCAATGGCCAGGCACCTCCAGAGCCCCCCATTTATGCATGCAAGTTTGGAGAAGGACCGCAGTATGGGCACATATTGGTGCTGGCCAACGAGGATGGAAAAATTGGGCTGAGAGACACGAGACAGAAGGGGAACCAGGCTGCAATTGAAGGTATGTAGCTAGTGCTTGCATTTTTATATTACTGGAATTTGACATTGTGGATTGCACATTACCTCTTGAATATTGTCCATGTAATAAAAGTGAAATTTTATTTTACATATAATTAAAGATAGGTATCTATATATTTCAGCTCATCAGATACACAACAATGCAATATTTGATGTGTGCTGGGTGCCAGGTACCCCAGAGCTGGTGTCTGTCTCTGGAGATCAGACTGCCATTGTTCTGAGGGTGAAAGAAGATGGTGCACTGGAGCCAGTCCTTACGCTGATGGGACACTCACGATCGGTTAAGACTGTCCATGTTAATCCTTTTGATCCATGTAAGTCCATTGTTTTATTGTTATTCTTTGGAGCATGGTTCATGAATCTTATTTTTATTTTTCATTTTTATAAGCCCTTTTCTACATCCATATTATGATATAAAACAAAGTATAATTCTGAAATCTCTTTCATATTCAGTATTTTATTTATTACATAACTGAGTGCATTGTTAACACTGTTGGACTTCCAGATGTGATAGCAACTGGTGCACGAGATGGGAGTGTGATCATTTGGGACAAACGGTGCAAACCACACCATCGTGCAGATGAAATAGCCCCTGCCCATCACAGCCTGAGTGAGTGTCTTCTTTAATTATTTTTGATATATTTGAATATGTTGGTAGTTTCAAATGTGGCATATGTGAAAAGACCAATTTTAACATCATTTCAGAGTAATAGTGTGTGGTAATAAACTTCAGTGTATTAATCAGTGTGTTAAAATAAAATCCATGTACATGTCATCTAAGTAAAATAAAGAATGTGATGTCAGTAACTTTCAGAAATATCCACTCAAGAATGGCAGACTTTTGATATACCATTTAGTAATGGTATTATTAATTTGTCTTTTTCTTTCAACACTTCTCTTTCTCTTCATGTTTACAGCAAACAGAAGTATTGCTTCTCCTAGCATGCGGAAAGTTGCCACAGGGGGATCACTGGCTAACAACAGTGTTACAGGAGTTGTTTTTCAGCAACAGCATACACTTATTTCATCCGGAGCATCTGATGGGTGAGCATATTTAGTCAGGATACCTTTCCCCTTTCTCACAAGAATGAGAATGCAAGTGAAATGCTTGATTATAATGATTGCACCTAGTATTATAATGATGGTATTTTCTCATCAAGATTGATCAAGCTGTGGGACCTGCGGAAGACACACAGCGGAGGGAGGCGAGAACCTCAGTGCCAAAGCCTCCTAGAACACAGTGGCAACTCCTCTCATCGGGGATTCACTTCCTTATCTGTATCGCCAGAAAGAGACGTACTTTACACATCCTGTATGGACAATGTAATCTATGCATACCATTTAGCAAACCCAACACCAAAGCCAGGTACTGTGTCAGAATGGGATTTTGTTTGTTTACTGTGTTAGTTCAGCTCTTTGAGATGGAAATTAAGTTATGAAGTATTGATGTCTGCTTGATAAATGTGATATGTAAGTTAAGAGTTAGGCAATGGGAGTTTCAAGTCAAATTCAATAAATAATTAAAATAATATACAAGCCTTAATTAATGGTACTCAGAATTAGCAGATGTATGTATCTCTTTTGTGCAAGCTTTGCAGTTGCATGATGATTGGGTGTGGAGCAGGTGTTTAGCAGTATTTTGGGAGATCAAGGTAGTTTTAAGGGCAAGAAAGAAATGGCTTTAGTTTAACCAAGTTATATGATGTGTGTGTGTGTGTATGTAAGAGATCTTGTTGTTAACCTAACAGTGACAGGCATCTTGCCAGTGAGAGAGCCAGAATATGGGCAGTAGTCGTCTCGCATGCAAGACATTTGTGTTCTTGGGTTATGCTCCAATGTGTGGGGTCTCTGGTAGTGGGCAGATACTGTTTGAACTACTGACTGGAAATTTGAGTGTTTTCGTTCTGAGGTACCCCTTGTGGATGGGTTAATATTTTTATTGATGAAGTTTTCCCATTTGACCTTTTAATGTCATTCCTGTTCACATAGAAACTGAAAGAAAATTATAGTTTTTTTTTTTTCATTCATTCTAAAGGAAAACTAATGTTTATCAGGATTGACACTCAGTGGCACAGTATATGTGTAACCAATTCTTTGGATTTACTACACTACTTTCCTGATTAAGAAAATATTGTATAATATGCTTTCCAGGAAGTTATATATGTAGCTTTAACTATTTAGGTATGAACACAATAGGTGATTTGGGTATTTTGCTATTCCTGTCTACCATCACAGAATTTGAGGCTATTTAATTTTTTTCATGTTACTCTTTTGGTGATTCCGTTTTAGTAACATCAGAACACAAAAATTCTCTTAATTATATGTGCAATTTGAAATAGAAAATTAGACAGAGAGGAGACCTACTGCACACACAGAGGCTAATGAAAGATACATGCACAACATATAGGCAAATTAACATGGGTTTTCTATTTATGTCTGAAGGGTAATGACCATGAAATAACAGTATGTTTTTATTTATGTGTATATATTTTTAATTTCATTCACAGTTGCTGAATATAGAGGGCATGTAAACCTCACCTACTATGTCAAGTCTTGCCTAAGTCCATGCGGGTCCTACCTTTTAAGTGGTTCAAGTGATAACCATGCTTACATTTGGCTCACAGAGAAGCCTGGGAGACCTATTGCAAGACTTACAGGGCATTTTGCAGAGGTCACATCGGTGGGATGGTGTCCAGTTGATGATGAGAAGGTAGGAACTTTATCCTTGTATATTGGAAGGAAGAGATTTGCTGTTATTATATTTATATATCTAAATGTGGTTTACTTGTTAAACATTTAATCTAGTTTCATTTATAACAAGGATTCTTGAGTGCATTAGTAAAAATTCATGTTCGCACTTTTACAGTTGGTGACATGTGCGGATGATATGAAGCTTAGAGTCTTCCAGCGTAGAAACACAAACCTAGAAGATTTTGATGAAAGAATGAAGCTTCGAGGATTGGCTGAAGTATACACAGTAGAACACGCCAAAAGTGACATTGCAGAGCCCAGTGAGAGCTCAGGGAATGAACCACAGGATCCCCTCCCTCCCCTGCCCATCACCCCAAGTACATCTCGTCTTCATGCTTCCACTTCAGCCACGCCCTCAAGCATGAGAGGGAGAGAAGGACCATCTAGCATGCAGTCTCCTCAGAGTCATCCAATGACACCCAGGCAACAAACACCACACCATCGATCTCGAGGCAGAGGTACACCTTGCACACCAAAAACAAGTGAGAGGAATACACTTTTACACTGGCTAGCAGTCACAAAGACTCCAGGGCCCCAAGAATCGCCGAGTACTTCAGGAGCTGCACCAGTAAGCGCAAGCAAAAAGGCTGGGTTGAAACGCAAGCTAACTGACCTCATGGGGGAAGACCAGGAGAATATCAGTGGCGAGGACAAGAAAAAGTCCCCAAATTCCCCTAAGAAAAATGTGCTGTGTCCATCATCTGCACAGAACTTCCCTTGTTCTCCCCAGCCAAGTGTGGCCAAAATGCTCAAATATGGAGATGATGCAAGAGCTCATGTCTCCTTGAAACAAGAAGGCGGTGAAGGCTTTACAGAAATGAGTGAAAGTATCAAGCCCATAGAAGCTCAGGATAAAGTAGCTCTTGATGGAGGATTCAGGAAGCCTGTGACAAATATAGTGAACCACTCGCTGGAAAACGTGAAGGAAGAAAGTACCTGTTGCCCTGGAGAGCAGCTCGCTAAGGCTCCAAAAATGGCCGAAAATGCGGTAAAGAACAAGAGCCACTTTTCCCCCTCAGCATTCAGATTCAGGCATCTCTCATCCCCAACAGCCAACCTGCCAAATTATGTGGTGGATGGCTCCTCCCCTCACAACCGACCTGAAGTACGAGTGGAGAAGAAAAAGAACACTGATTGGCTAACATCCTTTAGTCACCAGAGGAAACTAAAGTTTACAAGAACACCTGACAAAGTTGAGAGAAAGCATGCCTCAGGGTTCTCTTCTCATGTTAAAAAGAAGGAAAAGAAGGTCCTTCACATAAAACAAAAATATCAGAAACTTAACCTGTGAAGACAAATTGGCTAAAGTGAGTTCATACCAAAGTCATAAGGAGTCAAATTTATTTGTAGTTATACTCTTGTACCTGAATTTATGCAAAAAAGGTTTTATTTTTAAAAGTAAATACTTTGTACATAGTTTTCTCACAAGGTGTAATAAATTGTGGTCTATATTGCTTAAAATGAAGTATTGTTTGCATGTTAGGCTTGTTTTGATCTAATTACACTTGTACATTTATCTGCATTAATAGTACTACCCACATAATTGGATCTGGTTGCTTGTAATGTAATAAGATACATTTTATGTTTGCATTTTACTGTAGTACTGTATATTATGGACGGTACTTTTATATTCCTACATATAAGAGAAAATGTATAACCTAAGTGAAAAATAAAATGAAAAATATAGTATCCTTTTTAAAGTTTCCAAAGCAAAAGACTGAAAATTATAGGTGAGAAAAATAAGATAAACAATTGTCATTTCTTTATTCTGGTGCATATCTCACTGTCTTGAAATATGTCATCCATGGCAAAAAGAAACTTTAATCATCTCTATTCCTTAAAAATAGTTGAATTCATAGATTAACATATCTTATTCTTAGTGGATTTTATCACAGTTCATATGGGTACATATGATGATCACTGATTTTTACAAAAAGCTGCATGGCACAAATGAATTAATACATGCATAAATACAAAAATTATTTTTCTTCATATTTATTCATGTATTTTTTCTTCAATTATAATCAGCCGGAACTAATTCTGCTCAAAGGAATACACAGTTCAGTAAATATAAAGTACTTTTACACATATAAATATATATGGGATGATTTTGAATTATAAAATTACATTTACAAATATACAGATGATTTTTGTTTCTGTCCCTCAAAAACTCACCCAAATTACTGCATAAATATCTCAGACTCAATCTATAGTGGAATGTGTATATTAAACTGCTCAAATTCCTCAATCAACATGTAAAAACAATTGAAAATGAAATATATATATGCTTGGGTATAGCTGGACCACAGCACATGTTTTAGCATTTAATCAGGCAGGCATGGCAAAGTCCAAAAGAACCCACCTTCTCAATTTTGAATAGCAGTATCCCAATCATTTATAAAATCAGTAACATCAAATTATGAAATTACTTACATACCACATATAAATGATCCTTTATGGCTCAGTGACGTGTAAGTTTAATGGGAAAAGTTTCAACAACTAGATGATCATTGTCAAATATAATGACAATGTTCAGTTCAAATTCTGTAAGAGAAAAAAAAAGAAATAGAAGAAAAGAGAATAAACATGAAAACAAAATGTTTTCCAACAATAAAAAATAATTAAAAACTAATTCAATATCTAATTTAAGTACAACTGAAGGCCCGTTCTGGTATTTCCAATATAACCATGGTTACTAATTACAGTTTTGTATATAGCCTTTAAACATTATTATAACATTAATGACAATTATTAGGTTTCCTACTTTCTAACCACTTTTATAATCATGAGAAATCAAAGAGATATACATACCTATTTTAAAATTGGGGGCAATTGTTGTTGCACAAGTAAATAATCGTGGAAAGACCATGTAAATCGGTATGGCGATTCCTCGACATACATCACCTTCTCCAATCTGGATGTTCTGAATTTCTGTTGCTGTAATAAGAATGATATAAATGATGATGATAATAACAGCAGTAATTATGGTAATGATTATAATAAAATTATTAATGAAAAAAAATACTGATCATAAAAATAAAAATAACCTCAATAATAACAATAATGTTTGGAAAATTAAGAAAAACAATCTTTAAAAATTATCATCAAAGACAAGAAAGCAATAAAAGTTTTAAGTAATACTAATGAGTTTTCAGGAATTTCTGGTAGATACATAACTTCTTGTCATTTCCCTAAACCTACTGATTTTGGAAATGTAAGGGAAAGGATGCTTTTTGTGATAAGATAAAGGAACAAAGTATCACATTCCCTTACATGAACTCATTTCCAAATATCAAATAAAAGACTCAAAGTCATCAATATCAAATGCATGATAAAACTTTAATTACCTTCTCTTGTGTTTCCCTCAGCCGATCCACATGTTTCTACTCGGACAAGTTGGAGCTCAATGCTGCTAATTCCTCTCTCACATTCACATACAGTGAGCTATAACAGTTTAAACAATGCTTGGTGTGAAGGACTTTAATATTATAAAACTCCTGAATGCAGTGTAATTATTTTTATTCTCTCAATCAAAATCTATACCTTAATAATTTATCACTAGCTTTCAGATTTCAGAGTTACATTAAAAAAATATATATATATATCACCTCTCCAGTTAGTGGTTTGGAAAGCGAGAACACTTCAGAGTCTAGGTGCCCTCGCACAAGAAATTTTGGGATGCGGGCTCTGTCTCTTACATTTGGCAAAGTCTCAGGCCGCATTTCGAAGTTTATCAAGCCTGGCTGAGCCACATCCCCTACACCTTGCTGAAACAGAAAAGTAAGTGAAATCTAAAATATCAATATAAAGAGCATAATTCATATGCATTGACAAATGAAAAGATAGCTGCATTATCATCATTCCTTCATTTCTTATTTGGTATTACTATTGCATAAGTAACTTCTAAATATTTAAATAAAGTGATAAAACCTACTAACAAAAAACTTCATACCTTGTACTCCACGATAAACTCTTGTGCTTTTGTAACATCTTTTGCCAACAGACTCCTCTTAATATCACACCTTAAAAAGTACTGTATTGTTATGTACACCCCATGGTAGGTCTCATAAAGAGTCTTCGAACCTCGAACCTTTAGTGGAAGCTCAAAGGGTATTTCTGTCTGGCCAGATGGGATTTTGCCTGACTTTGCCACCTCTACTACATTATTTATAATACTGATTGGCTGAAAAAAAAAGGAAAATGAATCAAGTATAAGGAAATGCAGACCACTACTGTAATAGAAAATATGTTATGATGGAGATCAAAACATGACCTATGGCGAAATTTCAGCCTCCTAGGATAAGCAGAAGTGGGTCAGGGGAAATCTTTAATGAGCGCCCCTCGTACTTAAAACTTCTCAATAAAAAGTCTATTAATAATGTACTGTTAACAGTATTTGTCCTTTTACTCTATTCAACAATCCCCAATGCCACCAGGGATAGCATGTGTTCATGCCATGCCTATTGTGAGTCTACCTTATTAACATCCTGCTGACGGGCATGGCTATTACCATCAAGGAAAGGCTACCCTTCATGATAAACACGTGTTTATGTGTCATGATTCACTCTAGCGAGCCTGTGGGAAGGGCCAGTTTTATAATATGAACATCTTGAAGAAAATGCTAGACGGTTGTCAATAGTCACTAGGATGAGTGCTACACAGAAAATTCCGGCACTCAGTATAGGGTTAGTTGTTTCTACACATAGATGACTCCACAAGTACTTAGTCACATAGGAGTCAGTTACTAGTATTACTCATTTCTTAATCCTTTTCCTAAATTTTTTCTTTTATTTCATATTGCTTTAGTGAATGAACATTATAATAATTATAATATATATAATAATAATTATAACATCAATACTGATAGCATTAGTAAAAGAATAGATAGTTTTACAAAAATCTTTACAAAAACCTAATGAGGATTTGCACTTTGCACCAGAACTTTCAAGACCTCGCTATCACCATTGCATGACAAAACACCAGTTGAGAATGTTTCGTTTTCAGTATTACATTAATTCCAGGTCCTTTGTAAAGCAATATAGCAGCTATGCAGAAGAAATAGATATTAGTAACAATCACAGCTTGATATATGAGCCCATAAAGTGCCCCAAATTGCTGGAAAAAGTGATAAAAAACTAAGGCATCCACAAACTGACAGAATCAAAGGAAAGTTTCGTGTCTTGAGACACCAAAGTGTTTGGTTTATTCTTTAATTCTTTATGCAGTTCTATCTTGCTGTACATACCTTGCCCTTGGGCAGTGCCCAAAAGACCTAGTCACGGCAACTTAGATCATTCAATAAAGTTTATAACATGGACTTGAGCTGCTTTATTGGTCAGGATGTATTAGATGGTGTGAATTCTTGTAGATTTTACCAACACATGGGTTGAGTTCTCATAGAGTTTTTGAAAGTTGGTGTAGAATTTCATTAGCTGATAATAAGCATTTTTTGAGCTGGTTTTATGCATTTTTGTTATCTATTCTTCTTATTTCAACTTGTTTTACCCCACAAATTCCCTGAATACTTCATGCCCTCCCTTGCTGTGACTGCTACGGAAATGATCATCAGATTCGTTCTTGTCACACGAGAATAAATCTGATGATATAAATATTGTCTGGGAAGTCCTAATTGTCATAAATGGTAAAATAACCACATCTTCTGGTAACTGACTTTTTAATATTACATCATGTATATATATATATAATTTTAAACATCAAATATTCACATTTCAAATTTCAAACATAGCACTGCGGAGTCATTAACTTTCAGTATCAATCTCTTCTATATGTCTAAGAGTGCATTCTGCTCATTTATCTCCTAAAGCATTAACATATCCTTCTAAGGCTTTAATAAATTTGGAGTCTATATGTGAAAAAATTATAGAAAATAACATTACCTTGGATGAATTGACAATAGACTCGATTAAACCTGCACTTTTTGGGACAGTTGCAGGCTTTATTACACCTTTCCATTGTCAGGGTAATGCCATCATGCCGAACCTCTGATTTACTGTCAAGGACTAAGAGTCCACTGACATTATCCTGTAACAAAAGGAGACATATTATTTTAGTGAAAATTCTCAAACACTTGCAATGCAAATACTATACTTCATGAAATGCATATGCACAATTCAATAACATTTCAGAATGAATATATTGATGAGGAATTGATTTATTTTAATAGAAATTCAAGACTGGAAACATTCCACAGTTCGTGACAGTAATGGAAGTAGTACAAAAGAGAAATATAACATAGTGATGATAATCAATGATTTTTAAATAATTCTCGTGGATNGGAGGGATACAATCCAACTCTCCATCTTGGAATGTTCTGAATTTTTTCTGGTTGGCTGTAAATAAGATGATATAAATTCATGATGATGATAATAACAGCAGTAATTATGGTAATGATTATAATAAAATTATTAATGAAAAAAAATACTGATCATAAAAATAAAAATAACCTCAATAATAACAATAATGTTTGGAAAATTAAGAAAAACAATCTTTAAAAATTATCATCAAAGACAAGAAAGCAATAAAAGTTTTAAGTAATACTAATGAGTTTTCAGGAATTTCTGGTAGATACATAACTTCTTGTCATTTCCCTAAACCTACTGATTTTGGAAATGTAAGGGAAAGGATGCTTTTTGTGATAAGATAAAGGAACAAAGTATCACATTCCCTTACATGAACTCATTTCCAAATATCAAATAAAAGACTCAAAGTCATCAATATCAAATGCATGATAAAACTTTAATTACCTTCTCTTGTGTTTCCCTCAGCCGATCCACATGTTTCTACTCGGACAAGTTGGAGCTCAATGCTGCTAATTCCTCTCTCACATTCACATACAGTGAGCTATAACAGTTTAAACAATGCTTGGTGTGAAGGACTTTAATATTATAAAACTCCTGAATGCAGTGTAATTATTTTTATTCTCTCAATCAAAATCTATACCTTAATAATTTATCACTAGCTTTCAGATTTCAGAGTTACATTAAAAAAATATATATATATATCACCTCTCCAGTTAGTGGTTTGGAAAGCGAGAACACTTCAGAGTCTAGGTGCCCTCGCACAAGAAATTTTGGGATGCGGGCTCTGTCTCTTACATTTGGCAAAGTCTCAGGCCGCATTTCGAAGTTTATCAAGCCTGGCTGAGCCACATCCCCTACACCTTGCTGAAACAGAAAAGTAAGTGAAATCTAAAATATCAATATAAAGAGCATAATTCATATGCATTGACAAATGAAAAGATAGCTGCATTATCATCATTCCTTCATTTCTTATTTGGTATTACTATTGCATAAGTAACTTCTAAATATTTAAATAAAGTGATAAAACCTACTAACAAAAAACTTCATACCTTGTACTCCACGATAAACTCTTGTGCTTTTGTAACATCTTTTGCCAACAGACTCCTCTTAATATCACACCTTAAAAAGTACTGTATTGTTATGTACACCCCATGGTAGGTCTCATAAAGAGTCTTCGAACCTCGAACCTTTAGTGGAAGCTCAAAGGGTATTTCTGTCTGGCCAGATGGGATTTTGCCTGACTTTGCCACCTCTACTACATTATTTATAATACTGATTGGCTGAAAAAAAAAGGAAAATGAATCAAGTATAAGGAAATGCAGACCACTACTGTAATAGAAAATATGTTATGATGGAGATCAAAACATGACCTATGGCGAAATTTCAGCCTCCTAGGATAAGCAGAAGTGGGTCAGGGGAAATCTTTAATGAGCGCCCCTCGTACTTAAAACTTCTCAATAAAAAGTCTATTAATAATGTACTGTTAACAGTATTTGTCCTTTTACTCTATTCAACAATCCCCAATGCCACCAGGGATAGCATGTGTTCATGCCATGCCTATTGTGAGTCTACCTTATTAACATCCTGCTGACGGGCATGGCTATTACCATCAAGGAAAGGCTACCCTTCATGATAAACACGTGTTTATGTGTCATGATTCACTCTAGCGAGCCTGTGGGAAGGGCCAGTTTTATAATATGAACATCTTGAAGAAAATGCTAGACGGTTGTCAATAGTCACTAGGATGAGTGCTACACAGAAAATTCCGGCACTCAGTATAGGGTTAGTTGTTTCTACACATAGATGACTCCACAAGTACTTAGTCACATAGGAGTCAGTTACTAGTATTACTCATTTCTTAATCCTTTTCCTAAATTTTTTCTTTTATTTCATATTGCTTTAGTGAATGAACATTATAATAATTATAATATATATAATAATAATTATAACATCAATACTGATAGCATTAGTAAAAGAATAGATAGTTTTACAAAATTCTTTACAAAAACCTAATGAGGATTTGCACTTTGCACCAGAACTTTCAAGACCTCGCTATCACCATTGCATGACAAAACACCAGTTGAGAATGTTTCGTTTTCAGTATTACATTAATTCCAGGTCCTTTGTAAAGCAATATAGCAGCTATGCAGAAGAAATAGATATTAGTAACAATCACAGCTTGATATATGAGCCCATAAAGTGCCCCAAATTGCTGGAAAAAGTGATAAAAAACTAAGGCATCCACAAACTGACAGAATCAAAGGAAAGTTTCGTGTCTTGAGACACCAAAGTGTTTGGTTTATTCTTTAATTCTTTATGCAGTTCTATCTTGCTGTACATACCTTGCCCTTGGGCAGTGCCCAAAAGACCTAGTCACGGCAACTTAGATCATTCAATAAAGTTTATAACATGGACTTGAGCTGCTTTATTGGTCAGGATGTATTAGATGGTGTGAATTCTTGTAGATTTTACCAACACATGGGTTGAGTTCTCATAGAGTTTTTGAAAGTTGGTGTAGAATTTCATTAGCTGATAATAAGCATTTTTTGAGCTGGTTTTATGCATTTTTGTTATCTATTCTTCTTATTTCAACTTGTTTTACCCCACAAATTCCCTGAATACTTCATGCCCTCCCTTGCTGTGACTGCTACGGAAATGATCATCAGATTCGTTCTTGTCACACGAGAATAAATCTGATGATATAAATATTGTCTGGGAAGTCCTAATTGTCATAAATGGTAAAATAACCACATCTTCTGGTAACTGACT